TAATTACCATACCTCAAATATTTGGATTTTCATATGAAAAAGCTTTTAAAAATCTTAATTCCTACTCCATCAAAAATGGCAGCTCCTGTGAAACTCGTGTTAATTTTTTTTTTATTTTTAAAGGCTAAAATGCAGCGATGGGTTTAATATCCAAACCTTCCCACTTTCTCTCCATCTTCTTTCCTTGGGGTTTCCTGCCTTGCTAATAGCTTTCAGTTGGCCTCTCGAGGTGTCCAGTGACGGGGTAGTCTGATCACTGCAAATGTATATTCTCCTTGCATATCCCAGAGGATTAGTCAAAAATACTTTTCCTATTTAAAGGTGGCAGTTGGCAGTCAAAAGGGATCCCAAACTGGTTTGGAATCATTTCCACAGAGAGGAACGTAAAGTGTCAACTTACCAAAGCAAACAGGAACCTTTCTTGCCATGATGGAGCCGGCTCCTGGCTCTGTTACCTTGGTCTCCTGCCATGGGCAATAATCTAAATTCACAGAATCGGGGAAGGGTAGGGAGAGAAATGGGCCTCCAGAAATCATGCAGGCTCACCCATTCCTTTGCATTCCAAACAGGCGTGCCAGGAAATCACTCTTGATGGATTCATATTCTTATCAATTCTAGCACTCAGCATAGGGCCTGGTGCATAGTAGGTCCTTAATAAATGTTAATTAACTGGCTGAATTCAATTCAAAACCAACCAGCATTTATTAGGTGCTTTAGGATCACAGTATCCTTGGTCTTGAGAACATCTGGTTCACTCCCCTCCCCGTTTTATAAAAGAGGAAACTGAGGTCAACCATTAAGCCATTTGCCCAGGATATTAAATCTGTCACACAGGCATTTAATTTGTTTCCGGAACTGTGCTAGGCACCAAGGATACAAAAGCAAAAAATGAAAATATCATTTGCCCTCTAGGGAATTACATTCTCCAGGACTTATTTCTATCCAGTCTGAATTTCTTCTGATTCAACTCAAGCCACATTCTGCCTCTGTTCCCCATAGCCAGAAGGTTCCCTCAGGCCATCTAACCTAGTTTGTAGTTAATATAATATAATAAATAAATTTAATAAATTAAATTAATACATTAAAATAATATAGTTAATATAATATAATATAGTTATGGTTAAAAGACACTAGAGTCCAGGGAAGTTAAGGGATTTGTCCAGTATCACAGTATGAGATCCAAGATTTGAACCCATGTCCTCTCACCCCCAAGCTACTGTTCTTTCCACTGTATCCCAAAGCTGGGAACCATCTTGGACATAATGGTCCTCTAGTCATTGAAAGTCAGTTATTAAATCAGCTCGCATCCTTGTCACTCCCAAGTTCAATAACTACAGTGCCTTCAGCTTCCCTTCACAAACACCTTTCTCTTACTATTTAATCATTTTTATTGCTTTCCATAACCCTCAAATGGCTGGGCCTCAAACTAGACACTTTGCAAAAGCTAAACTAATGCAGAGTGAATATTAGAAGGAGACTGAGCTCCCAGCCTCTGTGGGCTATTCTGCTTTTAACGCTGCCCATTATACAGGAAAGAATAGACACATTCTTCCACTGTCCTGCCACAAGCTTTTAATTAACCGTTCTTTCTGCTACTCTGATGCCTATACACTGGAACTCCTTATTTATAAGTGAGTGATTTATAAGATGGCACATCCAAAAATCGGCCCCACTAAAGGTGACTTTATTTAGGGCCCATGTTAAATGAGTCAGCTTTAACCAGGGGCTCTTCCTTCCATTTTCAAGATGTTTGCTTCTGGGATGAAAGAGTGGTAACAGCTCATCATGGAGCTGAAAAGCCCAGGACAGCACAGGGAGCTGCGATGGTCACCTGGGGCAGGCAACTGGATCATTTTGTTTGGTTTTTCAATCTTGGATGAATTTGGAGGTTCATTTGCTTCAGGTTTCTCAGCTGTGGTCTTAATTAAAAGATGGGCATTATAGGATATAGGACCGAGGGATCTTAATCCAATTCCTTTACTTTCCAGACTGGAAACTAAGACTTTGTCTAAGGCGAATCATAGATTTAATACTGAAAGGGAATCTCTGAGACCATATATTTCAAATGCTGCACTGTGATTATATAGGCAGTAAATGTCAGAGGCAGGATTTGAACCCAGGTTCTCCCTGACACCAGGGCTGGTTCTCTTTCCACTGTACCACACTCCCACATTCAGAGTAAGTAGAAAGGCCAAAATTTGGTTTGAAGCCTTTTGATTCCAAAGCAAGCATACCTTTTACTACAACACTCTTTTCCTCAAGGGAATTTACACACCATTATTATTCTGTTTTCTCTTACATCCTGAAAATATATCTAATTCTGAAATTCTCTTCATATGAAGGTAGCTAGGTGGCAAAGTGGATGGAGTCTTTTTGGAATCATAAAGACCTGAGTTCAAATCTGCCTTTAGACATTTACTAGCTGTACAACTCCAGGCAAGTCACTTAAGCTCTTTCTAGTTCATTTTCTCTCATCTTCAGAATGAAGAACCTATCTCTCAGGGTTTTGTGAGGATAACATGAGTTAATATATGTAAAGGTCTCTGCAAACCTTTAAGAGCTATATAAATACTAAATGCTTGCTGTCATCATCATCATTGCTATCATTACTGTTATTGTTACCCCCTCACAATGAGGTGGCACAACCTGAACATTCCTGAAGTCAGAAAGACTCTTCTCCCAGAGTTCAAATCTGTTCTCAGACACTTCCTAGTTGTGTGACTCTGGATAAGTCACTTAGCCCTGTTTGCCTCAGTTTTCTCTTCTGTAAAAATGAGCTGGAGAAGGAAATGGCAAACTGTTCCAAGTTTGCCAAGAACTTGCAAAAAAGTTGTCAAGTTCTTTTGCCAAGAAAAACTGCAAATGGGGTCACAGAGAGTCAGACACCACTGAAAAGACTGAACAACAATTATCCCTCACATTTGAGGGGAAGGAAAACACCATGGTGGTGTGGAAAGAGCATTGAATTTTGGGCTTGAAGTCAGAAGATCTAGATTTGAGTTCTGGTTCAAATCTTCCTGGTCATGTGACTTTCAGCAAATCACTTAATTTCCCTGTAGAAATGGAGATAATAATATTGACTACCTACCTCAGAATCACAGAAAAACTAGATTACCAAATCACTACCATTAAGAATCTCACTACTATCACTACTAAAACTAAATCATTACCACTAGAATCTTAGTGTTGGAAGGGACTTCAGAGACATCCAGTCCTATTTGTTTCTGAACAAGAATTCTCAATGAGTACTTGACCCTACTTTACTTGAATAGCCACAGTAGAGACAGCTCATGGCATAGTGAACTGAGTGCTGGACTTGGAGTCAGGAAGACCTGAGTTCAAATCTGGCCTCAGACACTTAGTTAGATGTGTGACCCTATGGTTAACCCCTATCTGCCTCAGTTTCTTCATCTGTAAAAATGGGGATTGATAATAACACTTGCCTCCCAGAGCTGTCATGAGCACTAAATGAGAGAATATTTGTACAATGCCTGGTATGTAGTAGACGCTTAATAAATGTTTATTTCCTTCCTTCAGAGAGAGGATCCCAAAATTTCCCAAGGCATCACATTCTACTTTTGGAAAGCTCTAATTATTAGGGGGTGTTTTTAATAGGTTTTACATAATTGCTCATATATAACCTATATTAAATTGCTTACCATCTTAGGGAGATGCGAGGGAAGGGAAGAAGGGAAAAAATTTGGAATTCAAAATTTTATAAAAGATGAATGTTAAAAATTGTCTTTACATGCAATTGCAAAAAATATAATGCTATTAAAATAAATAAAAGTTAAAAAAAAGAAAGTGCTTTTGTTCATCTGATTTCTATCTTTCTGATATGCTAAACAAATGTAATCCTTCTTTTACATGACAGGCTAGTTGAAGACAACTATCACGGTCCATGTTCTCACCCGGCCCGCCCCGCCCCATCCCAGATTTCAGTCTCCTAAGCATCCCTAGTTTCTTTAGCTTATTTACTGATGGCATGACCTCAAGACCCTTCACTAATGTGATTGCTGTCCTTTGGATTCTCCCAGGTTTATCAATGTGCTTCCTAAAATGTGCCACAGAGAAATCAAAACAATCCTTCACATGTGACCTGACAAGGAAAGAGGAAAGTGGAATTATCAGTCACCTCCTGATTCATAGAAGCTATGCCCCTCAAGGCAAATTAAGATCCCATCAGTTGGTTTTGCTTTGTTTTGGTTTTTGGCTGCCATATTATGTGGTTGCCTCATATGAAGTTTGATGTCCACTACAATCCCCAAATCTCTTTTTTCCCCTCTTCTGCACATTTTGTAAGGTGTGATTTGTGTGTGTGTGTGTGTGTGTGTGTGTGTGTGTGTGTGTGTGTGTGTATTAAAGAAGAGGCATTAATATTTATTTTGTTTTTGCATCCCAAACACCGTGGGACCCTTCCATCTGATTTACAACTGAAACTTTCCCGATGTGTTGTCTCCTCCATTAGAATGTAAGCCCCTTCAGAGTGTTTTCAGTCATTTTTCAGTCAGGTCAAACTCTTCATGGCCCCATTTGGGGTTTTCTTGGCAAAGATATTGGAGTGATATATCATTTCCTTCTCCAGATCATTTTACAGATGAGGAAACTAAGGCAACAAGTGTCTGAGGCCAGACTGGAACTCAAGAAGAAGAATCTTCTGACTCTAGGCTTGGCACTCTATCCACTGGGCCACCTAGCTGCTCCTTGAGAGTTGGTGTTGTCGAGCTGTTTTGATTGCATTGACTCTCTGGGACCCCATTTGGGGTTTCCATGGCAAAGATACTGGAGTGCTTAGCCATTTCCTTCTCCAGCTCATTTTTACAGATCAGGAGCTGAGGCCAACAAGGTTAAGTGACTTGCCCTAGGGCCCCTTGAGAATAGGTGGTCTTATTTTTCTATTTGTACCCCCAAAACTTAGCATAGTGTTTTTCACAAAATACGCACAAAACGAATGCTTTATTCATACATGCATTCAAATAAAATTCATACAAATGTCTATATATACACATATAAGGTAATAACAAAACTTCTATATTTGTTTGTATCTCGTGTGTTTTTTGTTTTTCTTCTGTGCATTCAAAAAAGAACTGTTCTATTGTTGGTGTTGTTGTTTTTGGGGGGTGGCATACCAGTTACTCCACACATTAACGTACTACCCTTCCCTTATAGCAGAAGAAGCCCTTCCTGTTAGCAATTATGAGTGGTCCAGCAAAATGAATCAACACATTGGCCATGTCTAAGAAAAGCAATCTATCTCATTCTGCATCCCAAGTCTATTACCTCGGTCGAGAGGTGGGAAGTATGTTTTATCATGAGGCTTTTGGAGTCACTCATCTTTTGCTGCTTTGATCACAGAGCTGAAGTCCTCCAAAGTTGTTTTCCTTCATATTATTATTGTGGTAGTTCTGTAAAATCTCCTGACTGCTTACTTCAATCTAAATAAATACCTTTAGAATTAGAAGGGAAACAGTTAGTTAGGAGGGAAAATATTTACAGAAAATTTCCCTATTAAAAGTGTAATATATAGAGAATTAAGAATTAACAAAAATACATAAGAAAAGAAGCCATCTCCCAGATTTTTTTTTTCACAAGTGCCTCAGAGAGCTGTCATGAGAAAAAAAGGAGAGGGGAATAGGCATTTTTACAGCACCTATTATGTGGTAGGCACTGTGCTAAGTTCTTTTTATAAACATTAGCTCGTTTGATCCTCACAACAACCCTGAGAGGTAGATGCTATTATTATCCCTATTTTACAGTTGAAGAAACTGAAGCAAACAGAAAAAAAATAATTTTTGCAGGGCTCACAGAGCCAATAAGTATCTGAGGCCAGCTTTGAACTAAGGTCTTCTGAAGTCCAGGCTCAGTGCTTTCTTCACTGGGCCACCAGTTTTTTCACGGGGAAAGTACTTCATAACATGTAAAGTATTCATATGTATTCTTCTAATTAGGGAACCTTTAAGGGGAAATTCCTTCTGTACTATCACTGACAAGTTATGCTTCTATGGGAGGTGGCAATGCCATGGTAGACTGGGGTGAATATAACAGCATGATGCTATTATACCCTAGCTCTTCTTACAAACACAATCACCTCCTTGGGGCCTGAGAACCAGCCTACTAGATTGTGGTATAACGATTAGTTCCATCTTGGATGGTAGCATACCTTGAATAAATTCCTTTGCTAGAGTATAAGAATTAGTATCTAATCAACTCAGACAGAAGAACAATAAATATTATTTTATGCTCCTTTGCCTAGCATTTCAGACCATCCACAAGCTAGACACCATTTTCTCAAACTTTCCACTCTTATTTCCCATTATTCCTTTCCAACTACTCTATATCTTGGGCAAATTGGACTAGTCTCTTCTGCACATACCACAATGCCTTAATCTCCACGTAGTTATTCACACAGATCTCTCTCTGTATATCTTCCCTCCCTTTCTTTGCCTTTTCATTTCCTACTCATCCTTTGAAGTTCAGATCAAATGCAATCCCCTTTATGAAGCCTTCTTTAACCTCTCTTTATTTATAGGGACCTTCCTCCTTGGGCTTCACATAACATACAGATTATTATGGTCATCATGCCATTTTGTACACACACACACACACACACACACATGCATACATATATGGATACATGGATATATGTCTATACCTAGGAGATATAAATATAGATATTGATATAGACATAAATATGGACATACTAAGGAACCAACTACATCTATGTCTATATACTTATTTTTATATCTATATATCAATATCTATATCTATGTATATATATATATATCAACATCTGCATCTGTGTCAGTATCAATATCTATGTCTGTAGCTATGTCTATGTCTCTATCTATATCGGTATCTATGTCTATGTCTATATCTAAAGCCATATCTCATTCTGCACTCTGAATTCATCACATTTCTGTCATGGGATAGGTTGCATGCTTCTAGAATTGTGGTTGGTCATTGCATTGATCAGAGTTGAATCTTTCAGTGCTGTTCATTCAAAAAAAATAATATGGCTATTATTATACAAATTATTTGCCTGGTTTTATTAGCTTTACCCCACATCAGTTTAGACAAGTCTTTCCAGGTTTCTCTGAAGTCATCTTTCATGTCATTTCTTATAGTGTAATGGTAATTAATTACATTTACATGCCATAATTTGTTCAGCTATTCACCAACTGATGGGCATCCTCTTAGCTTCCAGTTCTTTACCACCACAAAAAGAGCTGCTGTAAGTATTTTCATGCACATGGGTCCTTTTCTTCTTTCTTTGATCCTTTTGGGCTTAGTAGTGGTATTTGTTGGTTCACAGGATGTCTGGTTAAATGGCTTTTGGGGCATAGTTTCAATCTGCTTCCCAGAATGGTTAGACCAATTCAAATTTCCACCAAAAATGTATTAATGTGTCTGTTTTTCCAAAGCCCCTCCAACATTTGTCATTTTTCACTTCTTATATCTCTTTGATGGGCATATTTATTATATTTATGTTATATGTATATTTACCTTATAAATCTTTTATATTATATTTATATATTTATATTATATTAATTTTATATTATATTTATTTGTTTAATGTTAGATTGTTATATGCTATATTAGACTATTTGTTATGATATATTAGACTGTAAGCTCTGTGAGGGCAGGGAACTATATTTTATCTAAATTTTGTATATTCCATATCACCTAATACAGGACTCAGGCAATCTTATGTGTTTAATAAAAAATTTCTTGAGTTGAATTGACTTTACAGGTCTCTATATGGTGAAATTGCCAGGCCACTTATCCAGGTAACATGCTAGGTAATATTAGCAGGAAGTAGAGGAAGACTCCAGAGCCTTAGCTCCTGCTCTCAGTTGGTTCAGCAGGCTTGGTTCTCAACAGAAGATGAAACCTTGGAGTTATCCTAAGGACTAGGGAAGCCTGCACCCGCCAGGCAGCTGCTGCATTCTATTTACAAAGATACCCAGAACACCTGGGAATGTAATGATGACAGAAATAGCTCCCAAGACAATCATTCTATTTCTAGACTTTTTAAAGATCAATCTGGAATTCAATATCTGAATTGTTTAGCTCAGCAGCCAGCAAGTAACTCTCTTCTATTAAGCCAATTATTGAACCAGGTTGTCTATATAAATAATAGAGTTTCTTTCATTTTGAAAGCTGCTGAATTTATTTTTTTTAGGATGGGGAATGATGATCAAGGAGAAAGACTGTGGAGAGAGGTTTGATCAGGCTTTTATTCGTTTTGAAGAGCACAAAAGTCCCAGTATAGGTATATGAGATGTTTGTTTTCTCTGTACTCAAGGCCAAATAGATTTGTAATCATGAATCTTTCATTTATAAAAATTATGTCCATTAAAAGGCCCAGACTTAAACATTAGCCAAATTTTATTGTTAAAAACATAATTAAGAGCAACGTTTTAAAGGAACTATACCTGAGGTATAATTCTCACTAATCCCTAACTTTAAAAAAACCCAAAACACCATGATTCTTAGTTTATGCTCAAAAATTAAAAACTTTCCTGGAGGTAAGTCCTTAACTTTCAACTTACTTTGCATCAAAGCACTCTTGGCGGTTTTTTTTCCTAAAGGAGAATACCTCTGTATTTTCTGACTCTATGTCTTGGCCACTGGGTGGCTGTCTTAGCCCTTTCCCTAAGCTATTAAAGGTTAGAAATAGGGAAACCTTAGTTTACCTTTTCAACATCTCTGCTCCCAGCTCTTGCTTTCTTTTCTATATGTGGCTGAAAAGAAAAACAAAAATAACAAAATATCATGATCTTTTAGAAATTGGTATGCCATAATTTTTTTGTTTTCCCAAGCACGAGATGTTTCTCACTTCACTCTTTTTGGTTTTTCCCCTCCCATCTGGTATACAGATGATTTAACTGGAGCCTGATATAAAATTATTTGCATACAACAGGGTTTGCTAACTTTCTATTATAGCAAGTCTTGAAATGGCGGCTTGGAAGTAGCCAGAAAGGTTTGCTTAAACGCTTTTTTTAAAAGAGTCGCCAATATTTCATACGCAAAGCAGAACATTTAGAACCAAAATTTCAACAAAGTCTTTGAACATAGGTTTAAACTGGCTTCATCATACTTTGCCAGGTAGACACGAAGGGTTTTTGTTCCAGCAACCAGTCTCTTTGATCTGTGACACACACTTTTCCTGGGCTTCCCATAAAGTATTTTTAAACAGTCTCCAGGCTTCCTGTGGGTTTTTCACTTTTTTAACTACTTCTGATTTTTTCCCCCTAACTAACGTCTACAGTTCCCTTTTCTAAAACTAAGTAACTATGTGGTAGATTTTTTTTTTAAACCTTCCCTCAATGGCCAGAATATTGAGTTTATAATCATTTGTGATCACTAATAACATTTCCCCAAGGATACTGATTTCTACCTACCATATGAAACTAGTCCAGTCTATTTGCTTTCCTTATAGAGTACTAGAACTCTAGAATGTTAGCAGAGAATCTTCACTTACTCCAACCAATTGCTACATAATCCAACTTGGACACAGTGACTGACCAGCAAAGGAATGGTGCAAGATAGGAATGAGATTGGGGAACTTGCCGGCAATCCCCTGGTTGGACTACCTGTTCTGGAAAGGAGAATTTCAGCTTCCAGGGCAACTAATCTGGCACCACACTGGTTTTTTTTAGAGGTGAAAGGGGGAGTAGGGCAGGGGAAGGAAAAATAATACAGCAGAACTGATCTCAACTCAACCAATGGAATCGTTAATGTGGTTTCCAGCAAACTGCTTATAAAATTCATGGCAGCAGCTAATTGCTACCATGTTCTTCCTCACATACTCCCATATTAAATTTGAAATGGGGAGAAAGGGAGGGGGAGAGAGGAGAGAGGAAAGAGGAGAGAGAGAGAGAGAGAGAGAGAGAGAGAGAGAGAGAGAGAGAGAGAGAGAGAGAGAGAGAGAGAGAGAGAGAGAGAATTTCCAAAGCCTTATTAAGCCATGCAGGACAGAGGAATGCATGATCTAAAGTGAGCCATTCACATCACCACAGCTATGTGGGCGAGCTGTCAAGCTCTGGATTACGTGTCAGTCACAACACAATGAACAAGACTCCTGCCAGCCACCTTTACCCAGACCCAGCTTCTCTCAACCCAAACTGCATCAACAAATATAAAGAGTTATGTCTGTGTGCTAGTATAGACACATATATCTGCATATATGTGTGGGTGTGTATATATATATATATATATATATATATATATATACACACACACATACATGTGTGTATGCACACACACACACGCATACATGTATCTGTACCCACATACAGCTGTCTCCAACTCATCTATAGGGGATTCTGGTCAGAGCCTACTGTCAAACCAACTCGCCCCAGATAGCTTCAGAGGGTAGAAAGTCAATGGCTGATCCTAACTACCAGCGTCTTTTCACTCTGATAAGGTAACTTGGCCAAAGAAACCAACACAATGTTACAAGGACACTAGCCACACCTATAGGTGCCTGGGAAGACCTAAAAATTAAGGTCTTTGCCCAGGCCCTCCCACTTCCTGGGGCAAGTGCACACCCCAGAGAAGTAGCTGGTCGAGGGGAATTGTTTAAAGAGTCAACTCAACTGTTATCAATTACTGCTTGACTAAAATTTGACTTTTCCTTCTCCTCCCAAGAAAACCATTAACTCTTGCCCTAAGCATTGACTGGCTGCAATTTCCCTGTAACTCAGTGCTTCTCTGCTTTGAGGCTTCTGGGATTAAGGGTTTGGTGTTCCAAAGTGTACTGCTTCAAACATTAAAAAAAAAATTAATAGCCTATTTCTCTTTTAAAATTATCCTATTTAGGGCCTGTGTATGTGGTGCTGGTTAGCAGGAATTTTCATTTTGCCTGCTAGAGGAGAACTACCTTTCTCCATGTGGCTTCTGTTGATATGCCCTTCTGTCCAGCTCAGCAGCAGAGAAATCCCATTCGCCAACAGCAACAACACAGAGTCCAACAATATCTACTATTGATGAGGATTATGGTGATTACATTTTATTTCCCTATAACTTCCATTTTATACAATACAGACAGGATTCCCTTAGCAATCCTTTTCTCATTCCACCTCTCAAAACTCTACTTTGACATAAAAGCTATTTTGAAGAGAAAAACTGAATTGATTTTGAGTATAGTGACTATACCTGTGATCTCACTGTTATAGGTAATTTCCAGTGGAAAAAATTCCCTCTGCCAGTGCATAGTAGCACTTAGTCTACCCTACTGTCTTGGAGAAGTGCCTGGTGCCCTGGGAAGTTAAGTGACTTACCCAGGATTGCCCAACCAGAGGAACATTTTGAACTTAGATATTCTTGATTTCTGGCTCTCTGATATACTATGCAACCTTTCAACTAAAAATTACTCTTTAGTTAACTGCTCCCACTTTTGCTTTTCACAATTTCCCCCCTTTCTTTTCCCTTCTGTTCCCTTTCCTTCCCTTCTCCCTACCCTTAAACTAGGTGTCCCTAGATCACCAGACTGGAAAGTACAGCAGCCACTCACTGGTTTGATCACACAGCTGATGAGCATGAAAGTTTTGACCTGCTCAGTTTCTGAGTCCAGCTGGTTCAGCTCTTCTTGGGCAGCCTAGTGCCACCCACTCCTGGGACTTTACCATATAACTTAGTCCGGACACCTACAGCCAATGCTATAGCTTGGAATAGCCCAGGTCAGGTGACCCACCAGCCTTAGCCTCCCCAGTAGCAAAGACCGCAGGTGTGCCCCAACATGCCCAGCACAAACTTTTTTTTCTTTCTTTGACCATTCTAAAGCACAATTAGAACATGGCAATAGCAGCTTATAAATCACAGTCCTGGACGTCAGAGAGTTCAAGATGTCTTCTGGTCACTCCAGACTAGAGGATCTTCCCAGCCTACACATATGCATAACAGGGTCTTTCTCTTTCATTTAATTTCTCTTGTTGTTCATTCATTCAGTCCTGTCCAACTCTTCCCTGGTATGGGGTTTTCTTTGCAAAGATGCTGGAGTGGTTTGCCATTTCCTTCTCCAGCTCATTTGACAGATGAGGAAACTGACTTACCCAGGGTCACACAGCTAGTAAGTGTCAGAGGCTGGATTTGAACTCAGGCCCAGTACTCTAACCACTGCTACTTAGCTGCCTCTTGAAACCTCCAAAATGCAAAAAAAAAAAGAAAGAAAGAAAGAAAAAGAAACCATCCACTAAAAATCTCTGTAGGAAAAATCCCTTTCAAATAATAATTACATCTTGTTTTAACCTAGTGTTTGTTTTCTGTATATTTATTCATGCAAAGAGCAGCTCAACCCTCTAACCTAGAGATTACTACTTTCCTGATTTTGCATGAGTCCAGACTTGTGCTTTCACTGGTGTAGGGAATTTCCACTGAGTAAGAAAACTCCCTAAAGCAATGTCCATTGGCATTTACTGAGCTACTTAGATCTAGAGCATGAGTGGAGAACCTGTGGCCTTGAGGCTTGAAGTTTCCTCACCCCTGATCTAGAGAGATACCTGAGTCACTAAGAGGTTAAGTGGCCTGCACAGAGGCCCATAGCCAGTGGGTACCAAAAGAAGGAATTAAACAGATGTCATTCTCACTCTAGGGCCGGTTGTGTAGACACTATTTATAGTGACAGTTAGGGAGTGCACGAGGTAGAGTGTTGGACCTGAGGTGAGAAGATATGAGTTCAAGTTCTGATTCAGACACTTTCTATCTAAATGACTTTATCTCTCTCAGACTCAGTTTCTTTTTCTATAAACACATTAATAAACATTTATTAAGCACCTGCTATGTGCTAAGTACTGTGCTAAGTGCTGGGGATACAAAAAGAAGTAAAAGACAGTCCCTGCCCTCAAGGAGCTTGCAGTCCGATGGAGGAGACAACATGCAGGTAAATATGTACAAATAAGAGATATACAGGATAAATAGGAAATAATTAAGAAAAGAAAGCACTAAAATTAAGGTTTGGGAAAGGCTTCCTATAGGTGATGGGATTTTATTTTATTTGGGATTTGGAGGAAGCTATGGAAGCCAGTAAGCAAAGATAAGGAAGAAGAGAATTTTATGCCAGAGAAAATGCCCAAAGCCAAGAGATGGAGCATCTTATTCATGGAACAGCAAGGAGGCCGGCATGGATCAAAAAATATGTGGTGAGGAGTAAAGAGTAAGAAGACAGCACAGGAGTAAGGGGTGGGGGGCGGGAACTAGGTTATGAAGAGCTTTGAATGCTAAATGGAAGCTTTTGTATTTGATTCCAGAAGTGATAGGAAACCTGCACTTTCGGAAAATTATTTTGGTGGATAAATAGAGGATGGATTGGAGTGGGGAGAGACTGGAGGCAGGCAGCACCACCAGCAGGCCCTTACAATAATCTAAGTGTGAGTGATGAGAATCTGTCAGAGTGGTGGCAGTATCAGAGGAGAGCAGGGGTCATATTAATAGTACCGACCTCACAGGATTGTTGTGAGGATCAAATGAGATAGTATATATATAAAGTACTTTGCAAACCTTAAAGCTGAATATATGCTTATATATATATATATATATATATATATATATATATATATATACACATGTATAAAAGCATTTATATTAAATATACATAAGAATAAAGCATATATAAATATATAAAGCATATAGCATAAATATATATTTAAAGCTAAATCAATGCCAAGTATGCATACTGTTGCTCCTGATTATCATGCTTTTCTCCCTCAGAATTAATTATTTAATGTTTTTAAAGAGGCACATA